CTGATGTAAAAAACAGGCCGACGATGGTGCCGACAGGGATTTGTGCTCGTATGGCTCAACGTAAACACGGCTCAGCGTGAGTTTTTGCACTGTTCAACACAGCATACATTGATGGTGTTGTTGTTGGTCGGCTATGCATCGTTCACTTCCATTAGCACCTACTGTATGACTTTAGGTTATTGTATTTTGTATCTCACACATGCTTGATTTAAAAATGAACACATAGAAAAAATATATTTTCAATCAGAGCTGCAATAATTAGTGAATTATTCGATTAGGTGTAATGTATGAAATTAAAAATCTGCTATTTGGTTAACCAATTCATCGATTTGTGTAATTCTTTAAGAAAAAAAGTCTAAATTCTCTGATTCCAGCTTCTTAAATGTAAATATTTCCTGGTTTCTCTCCTCCTCTCTGACAGTAAACTGCACACCTTTGGATTGTGGACAACACAAGACATTAGAAGGTGTCCTCTTGGGCTTTGGAAAACACTGATGGACACTTTCACCATTTTCTGACCACAACACTAATCAAATAATTGAGAAAATAATCAACAGATGAATTTACAAGAGTAATAACCATTAGTCACAGCCCTATTCTGAATTTGAATTGAAATAGCTGCAGTGAAATATAATTTACAGCATTGATTTGCTCAATCTGTCGGTTCTGTTTAGTGATTCACATGGTGCCTCACTGATTAATGATCAAATAAATATTAAATAGTAGTAAAAATTGCCCATGAGGCCATGCCAGCAACCCAAATAACCAAAAATAATGCGACTTACATAGATATAAAGAACAGAGAACAGCACCAAATTAGCACATTTTCGAAGCTAGAGGTTTTACGAATCATTTTCTATTGAGAAATTAATCAACTAATGGCTTCCACACTGTATCTACAACACCCTTATGATAGAAACTTTGTGCATATTTTGCACATTTCACTGAAATAATACCTGATAGGAATATATTCAGCTGTGCAACAGGCTTTATGTGGTGGCTGTTTTGAAGGTATTATATAATGTCAGATGTTTGTATGTTGTTCACCTGGGGTAAACTGGTAGCATCACTTTGTTTAACTCAGCTGTGTATCTTAGTAAAATCTTACCTTCAAGGTTGGTGCTTCAATATGTCAACAAAACAACATCCCTGTTACAATATTAAAGCCTTTAGGTTTAGACAGTGGTAAATAAATAAGCACCTACATTTAGGTAAATAAGTTTTTAATCTTGTTAGCATGTCCATATGGTGTTTTGTATATGCTGTAAGACACATTATAAGCAAACGAGTCAGTCAACACAGAGCATTTCCACCTCAAAACTGCAGTGTGTCAAAAACATACATACATCCATCCATTATCTATACACCGCTTAATCCTCACTAGGGGTGCAGGGAGGCTGGAGCCTATCCCAGCTGACTCAGGGTGAAGGCAGGTTCACCTGGACAGGTAACCAGTCTATCACAGGGCTACACTTAGAGACAGACAACCAAGCACACTCACATTCACACCTACGGACAATTTAGAATCACCAATTAACCTCAGCATGTTTTTGGACTGTGTGGGAGGAAGCTGGAGAACCTGGAGAGAACCCACGCTGCACGGGGAGAACATGCAAACTCCACGCAGAAAGATCCCAGTGTGCGAACCGGCGACCGACCAACTGTGCCACCTTGCAGCCCGTGTCAAAAACACAGAGTCAGTAATAGCAAACCTCAGTAAACGATCAACTGGCTGGGACTTTCTCGTGTCATTATTCTCCTTAAGAATCGTTTCCTGTTTCAGACACGAAAAGCCTAATTCCTCCAATATTTCCACTTGCCATTGTGTAGTGTGGAGCAGGGTTACAGTTTTGTAGCAGACGTGTAGGTGAGCTGGTGTGCTCGAGTTGAAGTAAGATTGGAGGGGTGAGTTAAAAAAAGCGGCAGGGATTCATAGATCTGCACATTCTAGAGGAAGCAACAGGACAAAGTTAGGTCTACGTCATTTTAAGAGATGGACAACCCTTCTAAATGTAGAACGTTGATACACAGAGATGATTATTTGCGGTTAAATCAATAGTCAGAATCCAATAGGCCAAAGTCAGGTAACTTGGGACCGTTTTTGCTGGCTACCTTAAGTTTTGCTTGTAGAACTTGTTATGCATCTCTGCAATATTTCTATACGGAAGAATGTGGTGCCAACTAAAATTATTTAGAAACTTGGACCTTCAAACACATCCAGATCCCTTACCTCCCTCTGGTAAAAAGGGACAGTTGGTGATGGTTTAAAGGGACACCAAACATTTCAGCTTAATTGAGGAATAACTGTATTTCAATTTTTTTAATGGTTAAATCCATTTATCAGTCTGGTCATTATGTCATTTCCCCCTTCACTTACCTCTCTAATGCTGATATTGACATATTCCACGTCCTTACAAAAAAAATTTAAGTTTTGGTTTCTGTCTGGTCTCCAGCTTCTCTTTATACTCATCTATCTCACCCGTCGTACTTTCATCCATCTTTGCTCTCATGCTTTCCCTAATATTTCGCTAGCTGTTTTCTTGGTGCCACAATGTCTACAAAGGGTATTAAAATGTTAATACCTCCTTGCAAACGGAACCTTCCTCCACCAGGATGTGTGTGAGTGTGAGAGAAACAAGCGAACGTGCATACATGTATTTACACTGTGGTCGCGTGTGCACTCATGTGTGATGTGCACAGACACGTATGTTCTGCTAATTCTGGACATCTTTACTATTTTTGAAGCAACAAAAATACAAAACAAAATCTGTAATATGACTAAAGCATATTAACTCATGATTTTATGGCACCAGTTAGCCTAAAACGTGACAATCTCACTTCAGAAAAAGGTCCCATTTTAACAAATTTTTTTTGCCTCACTTTATCTAATGCATGCGACAGTCATTTAAACACCTTTCCCATAAACATTAAAGTGTATGGATAGAACATTTTGACTATGGGCCACGTTACCTGTCCCACATTATCTGACTTTGCTCTATAAAATCAGAATAAGTGTAAAAGAAACAAGAAAAAAAAATGCAATAAAGCCTATATGGTATGGCTCCGCTCTACATCTCAGATCTTTTAATCCATTATTCTGGACCAGATCAGAGAATAAATTACTGTTAAAAGTTCCACAGTCCAGGGTTAAAACAAAGGGGACCATGCTTTGACTGTTTTAGCCTCAACTCTTTGGAACAAGCTCCCCATTACAGCCAGATGAGCTCAGTCAGCGCCTCAGTTTAAAAAGCTTTTACTTGAAAACCCAAATATACAGACAGATATTGATATAATATTTTGTCTTTTTTACTGTTATATTAATGTTTTTTTTTTGTTTTTTTTTAAATTTACTGTCTTCTCTTAATGTTATATTGTTGCACTGCATCTTGTGACTACCATTTTGAACGATGCCAAAGAACTAAAGCTTCTCATTATCTAAATATTCAGTGACTTCAGGGCGTACAGCAAACTTTCTGTGCCTGGTGCCTGCAGCATTAAAACTGCTTCAGTGTTATTCTGTCCTCCAATCTATATGTGCTGGTGAAGCATCACTTGGCACAAGAGCTCAAATTAGGTCTTAAAAGCTCAACTTTTAGTGGAGGAATTGTTGCAGTTTGTATTTTAAAAAGGGTTGCTGCTCACATTTGACAACAAAAACACTTCTAATGCAATATTATAGATTTAAGCTAAAGAACAAGGAGAATGTTGAGCTGCTTTCTTTGAGTAATTTACTGTAAAATCACAATCTCATGCCAGAGAGGTTATCAGAATATTGCAGGGATTGTTTTGCACTGCATCTTGAAACTCTAGTTCTGAATGGTGCTACAGGAATAAAACTTATTATCATGATCTGAATATTCAGTGATGTAAAGGCGTATAACAAACTTCTTTGTGCCTGGTGGTGCATTATACTGCACAGGTGTTCTTATTGTCCCGTCCTCAAATCTGTATGTGGTGGTGAAGAATTACTTGGCACAAGAGCTCATGTCAGGTCTGAGAAGCTCAACTTTTAGCGGAGGATTTGTTGCAAATTGCGTTTTTGAAGGGTTGCTGCTTAGATATCACATCAACACAACATTCCCATCACAAAAATGTAGACTTACGTTTAAGAATGAGCAGAATACTCTGCTGTTTCCTTTCATTAAGTCACTGTAAGATCTCCATCTAGTGCCGGAGACCCTCACAGGAGTGTTGTCAGAATATAGCAGGGATGTAAATGTCTATATACTGCAAGAACAGGCCTGTTAAAAATCTGACTTATCAAGCTTCATACTAACTGACTGTCTCGTGTAGCCCATAAAAAGACACATGAGACAAAGTCAATAGGCCTGAAACAGGCCTGCTGCAGGCCCGGGGAGCCTGTGTGGAGCCCACAGTGGTTGTCTGGACTTCATGAATGGGGGATCGGCTGCAGCCTCCTGCTGAATGGATGAACAGAGCAGGTCCGGACAGCAGCCGATGAATGGAGGGGAGTGTGACTGTGGCCTGCACATCACATCCCCTCACATCAGATCACATCAGGCCCACTGAGCCGCCGTCCTGTGACTGACCACACTTTACTCCCTCAAGTCTATTAAATGGATTAACGGAAAAGCCCCTTTTACACCGCGATTGCCCCCCAACACCCCCTCCTCAAGTCCCGCAAGCCTCATCCACGCTCCATCTGTGGGGGGAAAAACAAGCACTTGTTCTCCACCATCATTTAAAAAAAAAAAAAAAAGATTCAAACGCAGGGTTTCAACGCGGAGGAGGATGAGGCTGCTTGTGGGGTTCAACACCAAAACACAGCAGCCTCCAGTCCGCCTCAGCACCTGGACGCTTTATTATTATCATCATTATTATTGTTATTGTCCTCCACGAATCACGATGCCTTTCTCCTGAGCGCACCAAAAGCCTCTGCGAAATGTCTAATCACAAGCGTCAGGATGCTCCAGACGCGCTAAATAAGAAATAAAAAACGCAGCAGCAGCAGCAGCAGCGTCAGTGGCAGCAGCGCTCACCTCAATGCAGGACTGGGTTCATGGTGCCTCCGAGACGATCCTGGTTCTGCGGGGAGGACGTTCACTGCTCCGCCTCGAACATGCTCATTCCCGGCTTCATCTGCGTCCTCTGTCCGGTTTACACGAGCTCGCAGCCGGTCAGCTCTCCCTCCATCTCTGCTCGACGCACTGAGCTGCTGAACGCGCAGCACAGAGCACAGACCGTCAACACGCCATGGTCACACACAGCGCGTCTTCCGGTGAGTGGATTTCAGAATAAAGCTCCAAGCTGCTGAGCAAATGAGCTGTTCCTGGTCTCTGGG